TAGAATGATTTGTGTAAATCCAGAAATCACTGATTAATATAAAGGTAATGCTATTGAATATGGAGCAGCAGCCAGATTGATATAGAAAAATAGATGGAGCTTAAAGTAAAATTAGTAAGTGCATTCTTTTTATAAAGCCTTTCATATTTGCCAATGATGGATTGCAAACTTTTAATGGGCCTTTAGCTATTTCAAAGAAAGAGTCAAAATCAGTTAATTATCATATTCACAAGTCAATTGTACAAAAAAGGTTTAATGTTTCCTGGTACTGACAGTCAGGAGAGGAAATTCTTCTCTGAGTTCCTAAGTTTTAGACAAATGCATATGCTCTGAATTACGTTGGCCCCAGATAATGTAAAGCAAGGTTTACTATGGTACCTTTGAATGCAGACCTGTGGGATAGCACTTAAGAGGAGCTTGGTAAGAAGTATAACGCTCCGCTTGTCTAAGTTCATTGAGAGGTGCTTTAGAATATTTAAATCAATGAAGTACAGCCATTCACCAGTTCTTCATAAATGCTGTTTTGCTCATCTGAGCTTTTGAAATCTATTAACAAGAAACTGATTTTCAGTAAAATTCTTTGTCAGGTAAAATAGTTATTCTGTGTTGCTGGTTAATAGTTGAGACATAGCTTGAAAGCCAAGATTATGACTGTCACTCTATAGGAAAAGGATTTCTATAAATCTGCCCCTTTGATGTTGAATGAAGGAGTACTCATAGGCTATGGTGTGCTTGCCTCAAGAGTTTGTTTTGCAGTCCTTCCCAATGAAAAGGGATTGTGGTTATCACTTTAAAGGTCTACCTTGTAAGTCTTAGCCTCAATATTTTTGGTCTGGAGAAAGTTTAAAGCTGATATAAAATGTAGTTCTTACCTTGAATATTAAAGAAAAATACTTTGTAAAATACATTTGAATACTTAAATTTAAGAAAAAATGCAATGACATTTCCTCTAAGACAAGCTGGTTTTAAAATATGCATCTCAGTTACTGAATAAGTTAACGAGATAGAGTTCCTTTATGACAATTAAGAAAAAAAATGGTTGTTTTGTTAGTTGTCTTCTAAAAATAATGTATTTTGTTTTCAAAATGTTGATCTATAAGAAATGTATATCAACATAACTTTTGATCTATAAAACATTTTTAAAGCAGTAATTACACAACATACCCAATTGTTCAATATGGTCACTCCATGTTTTTGAGGAGAAAGCCATAGTATCTCATATAATGCTCCCATTTTCTGTTTTCTATGGTAATAGTTTATGTAGCCAGCTTACTAACAATGGTGTCAAATCATTAAAATGCCATAATAATAGCAGTATGGATTCAGAATAAATTATTTAAATTCTCCTACTAAAATTGTCATCTGGTCCATCAAAATATACTTTTACAAACTTTGATTATGAAAATAACAGTAAAATTCAAGTTCTATATAAGCATCCCTATCTGTGGCATATACTGAGGCTTTGAAGTGGCGGAAGTGAATTCCAAAGAATGATAGGCCCAAATAGGTCAGAAGTCACATAATATTCTATATGATTTCTAAGCGATATCTTCAGATGATGAGAATATATAGCATTTTCAGTACTCGGAACAAGACAGAAAATGTATGTCAGGGCTGCATTGTTCCCAGTGTGGCCTATTGGTCTTATAATGGATTAAATGGAAACTGACCCATTTAGGTGCATGTTTGATCCAGAGGGCTGCCACAGGATGAGGGCTGGTTTCCATTTATAAAAAATGAGAATGTCTCTTTCCAGGTCTGTTAAAATGGGATCAAAATCACAAAAGTAAAGAAAGCAAATATATCAGAATTATTAATATATCTATTAACTATGTGCATGTGAAGGTGTCTCCTGACATCTGATATTTTATGGAAAGATTTGTATGTAAAAAGTCGAGATGACCCTTTGCTTTTTTTCTTGACTAACCTGACTCAGAACTTGTTAACTTACTGACTGGGGGGGAGAGGGTGTCCAACAGTCTGCCTTTTTTCCCCCCTACTGTAGCTCTTGATGAGATAAACAACCAAAAATCCTAAACAGAAGCAAGTTGCTATCTACAAACCAAATCTGATAAATTTACATAATATAAAATTTGTATATTGTTTTTGAGACTTCACCAAGAAATATCTATAAAATAAATTATATTGAGACTGAGGCCTGTTGCATGAAAAGATTCATGCAATAGGCCTTCCCTTCCCCTGATGCTGGCACCAGTTTTCCTCCGGCACCCGGGACCCAGGCCTTCGCTCTGGCCAGAGGTGCCTTCAGTCTTCGCTCAGCTGCTTCGTGCCTATGTATGCAAATTAACCGCCATCTTTGTTAGCGGTTAACTTGCATATCTTGCTGATTAGCCAGTGGGAGGCGTAGCGAAGGTACGGTCAATTACGATGTTTGTCTATTTTTAGATAGGATGTACACTTAAGGGATATTCCTAGGAAGGTTTTTAAAAAGTTTTTTTTATAGAAATTTTCTAATATCTGCAATGTAAGTACAAAAACATAATAGATAAATCCCAACTGCCACCCACCAAAACAACCAGTGTTCTGATTACTAAGGGACAAGTACTTAAATGTCCAGACCCTGGTTTAGATAAAGAGAGGTGCCTACAAAGATTATGAAGCAAAGTAATCCTTTAAACTCCTCTATTTATTATTTGCCCTCAACTTTTGCTAGCCATTACACCAATGCATGATATATAACATGTTTATTTTGAAAAATATAAAAAAGAAGAAATACATATTTTAAAATAGTAAAGGTAAAATGTGAGCTTAAGAAAAGAGGTGTGAGAGAGAGGGAAGGAAGGGAGAAAGAAAAAAAGCAACAGATGAAGGGGGAGGGATTAAGGGAGAAAGAGGAAGCAAGAAAGAAAAGAAGATAAGGAAAGAAAGAAAAAAGAAATGAAAGAAGAAAGGTACATGTGCAGAGTAAGTCTCAATATTCCAATATTCAGTCTTTAACGTTGGTTATCATCGCTCGTTGGATATCACTGGTGTCCATGTATCTGGTGTCTGCTCTACCCTTGCTCCAAAAACTATGGTCCATGAGCCAGCAGCAGATTGTCAGACTCCACATCACAACATATTTGGTCCAAATCTGCATATTCAAAAGATATACAGTGCTTAATAAGTACATTCCAACTTCAGAAATATTGCTCTAGATCACAATGTCCAGTAGTGGCATGACACAGGAGAAAAAAAATCCTATCTAATAATAGACAAAGATGGTAATTGACCGTACCTTCGCTACGCCTCCCATTGGCTAATCAGCGAGATATGCAAATTAACCACCAACAAAGATGGCGGTTAATTTGCATACGTAGGTGCAAAACGGCAGAGCGAAGACTGAAGGTGGCTCCGGCTGGAGCAAAGGCCTGGGTCCCGGGTGCCAGAGGAAAACTGGTGCCAGCAGCCAGGGGGAGGGAAGGCCTATTGCATGAATCTTTTCATGCAACAGGCCTCTAATACAATTATAAAACAGACAGAACATGAAACAAAAATACACAGGGAATCAACAAATTAACTATGAGACAAAGAAAATTTCTGTTTATCTATAACTGTGTGATACATCAGTTATCTTATAAAGCTAGAAAGTGAAAAATGAAATAAATTTTAAGTACTATATTGTGTCTGTTTCAGAAGGAAGTGGTCAGCATAAAATATGGGAAAGATAGTATGATTTGCTCTTTGCAATGCATTTTCCCTGTTCATTTTATGCCTACTAGTAACCTAATAAGCTGTCATGTAAGCTAATATTAAAAGCAACAAATTATACTTTTGTTTATTTTATTTAATGATACTCATTAAAATTTTATGTTACATACAATTGCTATCAGATTTTATGTGGCCAATTAATGTTACATTAAATTGCTTTTGTACAGGGAACCAAAATAGCTAAATGAAGCAGATGTGTTCTTCTTAAAAATGCAGCTGTTATTATATTAAACAATTAGCACCAATATTTTGGAATAATACGTTAGATGTCTATAACAATTATAAAATTGGTTTCCACCCTAGCTGGTGTGGCTCAGTTGGTTGGAGCATAGTCCTGCACACCAAAGTACTGATGGGGTGGCCATAATAATCTGGCCACTGAGTATATATATATATATTCCAAATATTCAGGTGACTACCATATTTTCTTTACCAAAGATGGAAAGTTTCTCACCTTAGGTATTCTTTAGCAATTATGTCCACCTCACATCGCTCATTTTAAAATCTTATCTCAAATAGTAGATTGTACTTTCTTTTAGGCTGAACTAGGTAGTTGTGAAAATGCTCTTCCCAAATATGCTTGTGGCTCAGAGAATTAAGATTATTCTTTCATAAAATTGAAATCTGCCCAGCTGACACGGCTCAGTGGTTGAGCATTGACCCATAAACCAGGCGGTCTCGGTTTGATTCCCTTTCAGGGCACATGCCCGGGGTTGTGGACTCAACCTGCAGTATGGGGCATGCAGGAGGCAGCAGGTCAATGATTCTCGCTCATCATTGATGTTTTTTATCTCTCTCTCCCTCTCCCTTCCTCTCTGAAATCAATAAAAATATATTTACTTAAAAATATAAAATACAATTGAAATCCAAAGAAGGGAGATTAATAATGTAAAATGGCCTGATTTTTAAAGGGGAGTATAAAAAGCACCTCTCACTAAGGAATAAAAGTGTTTTGTCTTGCCCTATTCTTTCTGCATTTAACTTTTAAATTTTATTTTTGTCAAGTAGTGTATTTTTATTTTCTCAAATTCAAATGTATTAAATGTTAAACTAACAAATATTTGCTTTTAAACGTTGATAAATATAGGAAGAAGGTGCATCCACTAAGAGTTTTGAGTAAATGGGACAGCGTTTTTCCTCAACTATATTTAAGATCTTATTAGAATGGTATCTTAACCTTAGTCCTTCATTTTGATTTCTAATTCATTAAAATTGCCCTCTTCTTAAATGGAATGTTACATATTGAAGGAGACTGTCACAGAAATTTTTAATTCATATTTTATTTTCAGATGTAAAATATTTAAAAGAAGAGGATGCAAATCGCAAGACTTTCACTGTCAGCAGCACACTGGATTTCCGAGTGGACAGGAGCGACGACGGGGTGGCGGTTATCTGCAGAGTCGACCATGAATCCCTCAATGCCACTCCTCAGGTAGCGATGCAGGTGCTAGAAATACACTGTAAGTAAAAGCTCTTTCCTCCCCATTTATATCGGCAGCAAATCTGCTCATCTACATTTAAAATCATTTCAAAATTAGGTAAAGTTACAGGAAATGTACAGCAAAATGCAGTAAAAGTACCCTCAAATAGCATTAATCATGTTCAAAGGAAAGAAGTTCTTGGCTGACTATCATTACAGTCAAGGAATAAAAATAAAGGTGGCATCAAAAGGTTAAAACTCCTCATTACCTTCCAAATAGTGAGTGACTTGATGTCTGTGTGTGCATCTGAGTAGGGGAGGAGGAGTGGTAATTTTGGCAGAATCAGAGAGTTAGGAGTCTGAAAAGGGCATTGATGAGCTTTATTGTATGTAAGTAACTGTTGCATGCAAACGTGGCTTTCTATCTGTGCTTTTAAATTTAGACTCATTTCTTTTACTTTCTCTATGAAATATACTGTCTATATGACTGCAAGAATATATCTAGCTAGCATGTTTACTTTATAAATAGCATCATTATTTACAAGTGATAAGAACAAAATTATTTTGATGACACCAATAGTTCAGAGGCAGTGCTAAATGCTTTGCTGGCATCATCTCATCTCATGTTATCTGTAAGGGCATCAGTTACTCTAACTTTAGTCACAATTTACAGATGAAGACACCAAAGATTATACAGGTTGAGTCACTTGGCCAAGTTCACACAACTAACAAATAGTGAACTTGTAATCATAACATTTTAATTGTTGGCAAGGTCCTTGGGAGAGGTGATCTATAAATATTTATCAAAATGAAATTAAATGAATTGAAATAAGTAAGATAATGTGGGAAAGAAAAAGAGGAGAACACAGAATGTTGTATTTCTGAATTGGATTACTTGATTTTTAAATATTAGAGATTTTTGTTTGCTTTTATCTATTAAAGTTATAGATTGAATGTAGAAGTGAGATGTAAAATCACATTAAATACTAACATTTTAAATATAAGTACTGGTCTTGTAATATGTCTCAAATTTTGTTCTCATTTACTTATTTATTCAACAAGAAGTTTTTGAGTGCCTACTGTGTAACAGATATTGTTTGGACACTGGGGTTGCATTAGTGGTCAAACAGAACAACAAAACAAATCAAGATTGTCCCCAAGCGTCAAAATCACCATCACCACTAACAGCAATAAACTTTTACAGCACCTGTTCTAGGTAGGAATGACAGAAAAGCAAAATAAATGAATACAACATATATTATGTTATGTAGTAATGTATATGGGAAAAATAAATCAGGGGTGGTGATAAGGAGTTCAATTGGAGAGGTGGGAATGGGAGTCAAGGAAAGTGTGTGTGTGTGTGTGTGTGTGTGTGCGCGCGCTGTATATATACATATGTGTAATATTATATATACACATACACACAGAGAGAGGGGAAAGCAAGTATAAAGACCATGAAAAAGGAGCATCCCTTTATTTTTTATGTTTCTATAAACAGCAAAAATATCAGTGAAACTGGGGTAGAGTGAACTATGGGAAAAAAAGAATATTATGAGATAATTTCGAGGTACCAGGGACCAGACTTTTAAAAATTATTCTTGATAGAAAAAATGTTAATCTGATTATGATTTTTAATTATTGCCCATCATGGTTTAAGTATTCTTAGTTTACTTGATGTTGAAATTATTATAATTTTAAATACTTTTAATTATATTACATTAATTTTATCAATTTTCTTCCTGTTCTCATTGAAACATGTTCAGAAGCAAGCACATTTCATAGCTCAACCTGAGGTTATCTCCAAATTTCAAAATTTATTTGCTGTGCGACCTTGGGACAATTATTTAAAATGCTTAAGGTTTGAATATAAGCTAGAGAATTAATTTCCATGAGGAGCAAACTAGACAAATTAAGTCAAGATTATGACATTAAATAAAAATTCAACATATGTAAATTTAAGCCCCATTAGCAAAATAGCATAGACTGTGTGGGTTCTAAACAACAGAAATATATTTCTTTTTTATTTTTTTAAATATATTGTTGTTGATTTCAGAGAGGAAAGGAGAGGGAGAGAGAGATGGAACCACCAATGATGAGAGAGAATTATTGATTTGCTGCCTCCTGCATGCCCTCTACTGAGGATCGAACCCACAACCCGGGCATATGCCCTTGACCAGAATCAAATCCTGACCCTTCAGTCCACAGGGTGAGGCTCTATCCATTGAGCCAAACCAGCTAGGGCCAGAAATGTATTTCCTACTGTTCTATGTGCTAGAAGTCCAAGATCAAGGTTCAGGCACATTCAGTACTTGGTGAGGGCCTGCTTCCTGGTTCATAGAGGGCTGTCTTCTCTCTCTGTCCACACTTGGCAGAAGGGGCTAAAGGAGCCCTCTGGGCTCTTTTTTTATAAGGGCACTAATCTCAGGCATGACCTTCAAAAGGCCACACTCCCTAATATCACATTGGGAATTAAGTTTTAATATATGAATTGCGGGGGGAGAGGGGGGCACAAAAATGTTTAGTCCATAGGCTCTTTTCTCTTTTTCTTATTTCATAAACATGTCTTTTAAAATATAAAAAGTTATATACCAGGTGTACTGGTTAATAGTGCAGATTTTGTAATCAAAGAAAACATGATTTCAAGAGAAACATCAAACATGCTTTATTCAATGTAACGTCCATCGCTAGCTACACATTTCCCCATCTTCCAGGTAATTTGTGAATGTTGTTTTAATAGAACTTTTCCTGTTTTGAGGCAAACCATTCAGAGCCCATTTTTTCACTTCTTTGTATGTTTTGAAGTGATGCTCAGAAAGTGCGTGCGTACAAGTGGTGATCTGAAGGAGCAAGTTCTGGTGAATACAGCGGGTGGGTGAATACTTCCCAGGCAAGATCTTTTAATGTGTCTTTAACTGGTTTTGAAGTGTGTGATGGTGTGTCATCATGAAGCAAAATTACTTTGCCATGTCTTCTGGCCCATTCTTGTCATTTTACAATCAAAGCATTGTTCAAATTGATTATTTTTTGTCAGTAGGGATCAGAATTAATGATTTCAGCTGGTTTTACAATCTCATAATACACCACACCTTCCTGATCCCACCAAAAGGCAGCGATTTGGCCTTGCAGTCAGTGTTGATGGTTGACCTGGATCAACACATGATTTTGTGCATTTGGGATTCTCAAAATAAATCCACTTTTCATCACCAGTCACAATTCGATGAAAAAAAAAAAGACTTTCCTTAGTGCCGTTGAAGCAACATTTTACTGATGACTTTTTGGTTTTCCATTTGTCTTTCCTTCAGTTGACATGGCACCCATTTTCCTTTCTTTAAAATCTTTCCCATTGCTTGTAAATGATTAGAAATCGTTTGCTGAGCAACGTTTAATCTTTCTGCAAGTTGTTTCTGAGTTTGACAGGCATCTTCATCTAATAATGCTTGCAATTATTGGTCTTCAAACTTTTTCAGTTGACCTGGACGTTCTTTGTTTTTAACATCGAAATCATCACTTTTAAAGCATTTAAACCAGCGTTCACAAGTATCTTGAGATGGAGCATGTTCACCATAAGCTTCCCAAAGTATTCAGCAGCACTTTTCTTCAAAATAAATTAATAAATTATAAGTTCCTGCAAATGCTTTTTTTTGGCACAAAATTCGACATTTTTTAGTGTAAAAATATCTATGATGTTAACACCTTCAGCAAATCTGACATATGAAGTTTTGAAGCCTGTTGTCAATACAACTAAATAGCATACATATCATATTGCATATATATCAACTCCATCTATTGAAAAAAACGTCGCATTATTAACTGGTACACCTTGTAATTTGATATACTGAGAGGATACAGATCATCAGCATCTTAAATATTTTTTCACTTACACATCAAGCCATATAAGACTGTTTAGAATAGTATTTACTCACTTAGCTATAATTTTAAACATATAAAATAAAATTATAAAAATTGGACCATAAGGCATGTTGGAGACTGCCAGCCAAAGATCATTGGACATCTACCAAATCAGGCTTATTTAGTGGCTATGGAAAAGAAGAAAGCTTACCAGACATCTCTGAGTGCATGGTAAGAGCTAGGAGAGGCTTTATAACTAGAATTAGGAGAGGCTTGTCCTGAATATTTTAAAAAGGGTTTTGGAGTTGGATGCTGTCAGGATTGGGAGAAATCTAGTAATGAATATGTTGGTAATTTTTACCTAGAAAGCAAAAATATTAAAGCAGAATTACATTTGCTATTATAAAGATGAAATAGTTAATATGCCATTTTTTATTGTTGCTGAGTGTCCTGAGCTCTATCTTGTTTCAGATCTGGTCATGGAATAGACTTGCCTTTGGCTTATTCCACTCCATAGTCACAGAATGGCTTCATCTGATTATTGTTTAGATTCTTGAGAATTGTTTATATTTGTTGAAAATATTTCAGCTTAGTTATCAGATGCCAATTGTCAGCTGCCAGGCATTTTCACTTTCTTGGGAGTAAAACATGGAACTATTATACACTTCCTAGGCATTTTTAGCTGTTCACCATATTTTAATATGCGTTATGAATCAGACTTTATGGAGGAAGCCAAATGAATTGCCTAATTTTTTAGAACACTTTATGTGAAAAATGTTATACTTGCTGGCCAATTAAAAATAACAACTCATTCTATCATGATTTAATATGTAAGTGCTAGAAGGCAGAGACCAGATCTATTTAATTTTTTTTCCCCCTCGCATCTAGCATACCATCATTCGATATGTGAAGTTAATTACAACTAACTGATAATAATGCTATATATTCCTTTAGTGGTGCAGAACATTTCCCATAGATGAAATGAGGGGAGGAGAGTGGGAAGGGGACATTTATCAATGGTCCGCATCAAAATTAGAGGAAATGGGTATCCTATATAATAAGAGCTAATATGCTAATGGTTGTCACACACTCATGCCATCACAATCCATCACCAGGAGGCTGCACGCGCAGCAGGCACACACGGGTGGGTGGGGCTGAGTGCACGGGGAGCCCTGGAGGCAGGTCCCGGCA